GTTTGTAGACAAAGGGCCTTTTTGGCAGGTGCCCCCAGACTATGGAATGCCCTCCCGACTGAGATTTGTCTGGCGCCGACACTGATGACATTTCGGTGCCAGGTCAAAACCTTGTTCCAGAAGGCTTTTAATTGAAATAATATTAGCTGTGGGTCCGATGGCAATTTTTATATATATTTTAATTGTATTTTAATTGTTCTAAATTTTATTGTATTTTAAATGTTGTAAGCCGCCCAGAGACCTTTGGGTAGTATGGGCGGCATATAAAAATTAAAGAAATAAATACCGGCCATGCTTTTGGGTGGTGGGAACAGAGTATGATTTCAAGCAGCAAATGAAAGGTTGTGTTCTTCTCTTGCTCTTCCATTACCACCACTTTCCAGTTTGTTCATCTCTGTAAGGGGAAAAAGAGGGGAAATCATCTAGAAGCCCATGAGGATAGAGAGACGAGAGATGATTTGTAGCTGGAGAGCTGCACTCTCTTTCCCCTTTCTTATTTCTCATTTCCAAGGCAAACTTCCAAGCTACTTTCCCTTCACAATAAACAACAAGTTAACACATGCATTCTTCCGCTGTGTATATCTTGGCACTAAGTGGTGTATTGGATGGAGTGTTGGACTAAGGAGGCTTAGTCTCTAAGGAGATCGGAGCTCAGATCTTTACCTGGCTATGGGAACTCACATCTCAGATAAGCCAAAAATCCTATTAGGGTTGCCATAAGTCAGAAGTGCCTTGACAGCAAGAAGCTGGTAGCAAGAGAGAAAGTGCACAATATTATAAATCAAGGGGCAAAGCTATTGCTGATTTCTTTTAGACATATTCTGATCAGTTTGAATAATAAAGGGAGGATTGATGGTAACTGATCCTGCAAGGCTTAATGATTAAATGCAATGTGAACTTTTATAAACAATAGGCTGCTCTTATCAGATGGACAGCTGAATATGAAAGGTCTCCTTCCCTGCCTTCCTCCATCTCCTCCCCCCCATATATTTATAAATATAGATAATGAACTGCATTTGTAGTACTAATCAGACAACATCTGAACGTCATAGAAATCTTGGGAATGTCAGAGAGAAGACAACTTTCGGTATACAGTATTAGAATTTTCTTTTTGTTCTTGTAGAATTTTTTATTGGTGCAAGAATTGTATTCTCTCCTAATGTGTTGAGTATATTGTATTTCATGCTATGTGCAGTTTGATTTAATGCTGTCTTTTAACTTTACTATTTTGGAAGCTACCTTGTCTTCAGGAGAGGGAGAATGTACATGTTTAAATGAAATGTTTAAATTACAGTCTGAAACGTGTTGTCATTGCCATTTATCTTGTTTTGCCTCAGAACGTAGTGCAACCTATAAAAGATATATATGGGATTAATCTCTCAGAATCTCCATCAGAAGATGATCTCAGCATATATACAAGGTAATATGCCTCTTGTGGACAAAGAGCATTATTTTAAACGTGAGAAATAAATTAGCAGATTCCAGACAGGTCCATGCAGATTTAAATCTCACTGGTATAAGTGAGACTATTGAGGAATGTGTTTTACATTGTTCTTATTAAAATTAATAGATTGCTAAAAGTGTGTGCCTCGTGGCACAGTGGTTAAACCACTGTACTGCAGCCAAAACTGTGCTCACGACCTGGGGTTCAATCCCAGGTAGCCGGCTCAAGGTTGACTCAGCCTTCTATCATTCCGAAGTCGGTAATATGAGTACCCAGCTCGCTGGGGGGGGGGGCGGCAATGTGTAGGCTGCATAATTAACTTGTAAACCACACAGAGAGTGCTTGAAGCACTATGGGACGGAACACAAGCAGCACGCTTTTCTTTTTTGTCTGGAGTGTGCATGTTAGTTGTGTGCAAACTATACTGTATATCAAATTGTGCAACTATAATTTTGTAAAAATAGTAATCCTGGTGTCCCACAAGGAACTCAGATGTAAACATTTTCCTTCCCATCCCAGTTAAAACAGCCCTGTGGGACAAAAGAGATGGTGGTTGATCCCAGTGTCACACAAAACCACAGGACTGAGTGTAGATTTTAACACAGATCTTCCTACTCCTAAATCCACCACTCTTAGCCACATCTACAGTGCTGAAGAACCTTTTGTTTTCCAGATGTTTTGATTTGGAGCAGATGGGAATTTTCGGCCAAAACATCTGGAGAACCAAAGGCTTATCTGCTCTGTACTACTGCAAACTGCAGTGTCGCTGCCACGAGAGCTTGGTAATTAACACACAGCTTTTTCAGTACACAGTGCCCACCTTCTGTTTCAACCTGATTTGATACTGTTGTTGAGAGTGCAGAGTCTTCTCCATGGATCCATGGAACAGAAGGGGGCATGCCTTGCCAGTTATTGAGGCATTTTGCTAAAGCTGGAATATTTTGGTGTGATGTCCATAAACTGGTGTATCCACATGACATAGAACCAGATTATTAACAATGTAACCCCATCTATTCTGGAGACAGGTAATTCAACCAGACTTAACTTCCAGTTAAATGTACATAGGATTGCAGCCTTGAGTTTTATTTAAACCTCAGTGTCAAGTGGTATTGAGATAGAAACCCTTGAAAATCAAGGTGTGACTACACGGGGATCTGCCCTGCTGTTTGATCGGCTCCAGGGATTGGCTGGTTCACTCCTTTTCCCAATAATCATATGACAGAAGTGCTAGTGTGAACCAGCCTGTCTGTCCCCATAGCATTTCTACCTCCATCTTTTTGTCAAAGGCTACTCTTTTTCAAACGTGAGTAAGATTGTTCCATTTTGGTTCATACAATCACAGGTATCAAAACAAAGCAGAGCTTGCTACCTTCAATGTCCAGTCCATTTTCAGTTTCCCAGTACCAATAAGTGGCTTAAGAAGATGTCTTAGCCACTTAATGATGCTGGAAAATTAACAACTTCCTTTGCTCCTCCATGGAGGTGGCGAGAGGGGAAGCAATTTAAAAAAAAACTGTTATGGATTTATCTACATAAATGTTTACAAGCTAATAAAATACCACTGTGACAGATGCTGAGCTAATTGTCTGTATTGTCCCATTGGATGACAAGAAGAATTATATCACGCTTTCTCTGTATTTGGGAATGATAACTGGGAAAGTGGGATCTTTTCCTCACTGAGGGTCAATCAAGGCACCACCCATTAGGGATATTCTTGTTCTGGATTTCCTGAATCAGGGAGGTTTCTGGATCTGTTGATATGTGAAACACCTCTCATTCTTTGCTTCTCAACATACAAACTACAAAGATCAACTTTCCAAAACTTCTCCTCATTCTTTGGCAGGATAGTAGACATCCAAAATATACCAAGTTGTTAAATTTGGTTAGTAATTGGTTGTCTGTATTGAATGGGCCACAGGGACGCCAGTAGCACTGCAGGTTAAACCAGGCTGTCAATCAAAAGGTCGGCAGTTCAAATCTGCATGACAGGATGAGCTCCCGTTGCTTGTCCCAGCTCCTGTCAACCTGGCAGTTGGAAAGCATACAAATGGGAGTAGATAAATAGGCACCACCTCGGTGGGAAGGCAACGGTGTTCCGTGTTTAGTCATGCCAGCCACGTGACCACAGAAAGAGTCTACAGACAGCTCTTCAGCTTACAAACAGGGTTGAGCACTGGCCCCTAGAATCACACTATTGGACTTAATTGTCAAGGGGAACCTTTACCTATTTAATGGGCAAAATCTTGTTTGTATAGTTGTGTCACTGTAAACTGGATCCAGGTTCTGGAAATAATCGATTTAAGCTTCCTGTCACCCGTTCTAAATCCCAAGGCTCTTTAGGGCTTGAGACTGTGGGTGGGTGGTTGGTTTTAATAATCAGAATTGCTGCTGCTGGGATTGGGACCACTTGTGGCAATTTTTGGCTATTAAAACCTCCTCTGCTCCCATCCCAAGGCTCCCAAAGATATTCCTGGGTCAGACAGGAGCCTTTGGGAACCCGGGAACCTGCAATGGAGGAATGAAGTTTTCAAATTAATTTAAATGAATTATTTCCAGTGCCCAGATCTAGTTTAAATGGTGTAACGATGCAAACAGGATATTGCTCATTATGTGACTCTTTGACTTAAACTCTTGGCTTTTATTAATATTCACATAGAAAGGAGATTGTGCTTGTTGTAAAATAGACTTTAAAAAAAATTAGCTCAGAACAAGTGCATTACTCACTCACAGTATTAGTTTCAGGAAAAGTGTGGTGTATGTTCCAGCAGTCCTCAATGGAACTTGATGTCCCGTACTTGAAACTGTATGACTCTTACAAAGTCATCAGAAGATACGTTATTTTCATTATGTCAGAAAGTTCTTTGCCCATTATGACTTCCCTGCTTCTATTTGTAGGTTTGTTCAGCTGGGACACAGTCAACATAAGCAAGACAGAAGCCATCAACCTCTTTGTTCTAAACACTTAGATGGGGTTATAAATTTGTAAGTACTGGTCATTCTTTTTACTCAAGCTATTTTCAGACCATTCCTCCTCTCCCTTGTTGTAATAGTTCAGAGTGGTATTTTCAGATTGTAATTAGGCTCTGTGATTTCAGGGCATGTTCTGTTTGTATATCTTTTATAAACTTGGTAAGCAAGAGACTGCTAGGCAAGAGACATGGCATGGCTTTGTACTTAAAAATAGAGTCATAAATTAGAATTCCCCACTGCCATGTCACAAACTTCAGCTCACCTGTTGCTGTTTGTTGTTGTAATACCATCTAAGTACATGACAATTATGTCTTGCTTTTGTGCTTCCCGTTGGCAATTAATTGGCCACTGTGGGAAGGAGGTGCTACACTAGCTAATAGTTTCAACTACAGTATTGCTGTTTCTTGCTGCAAAGGGTTTTCAGTCTTGCAGGGGAAACAGAAAAAGCATGTCCAGGGTAGATAGGGAAGCAATGTGTGATTGCTGCATATACAGGTGCTTACACTAACACACTCAGTTGTAACCAGTCACAGGAAACAATTAGGTTCTTTTTCGTAGTCTCTTGAACCCACACAGATGGCTCCTGCTCTTGCACAGAGAGCATTCCAGAGCTGAGCAATTAGGTGGTAGGTCTGCCCAGCTCTCCTAGTTCACACGATCATGTATGCCAATGTTGCTTCTCTCTGTTCCTTTTTGTCTGCTGCCAGAATGATATCATAGGAACACTCTGCTGTAACTGAGCTTTGTATTTTTGATTATTCCTCTCTCTCTTTTAATTTGACTTTTTTTTTAAATTGTCTTTGAATTCTTGGACTTCTACTCTGCCTGCACTTGTGGCTTCTTTGACCTGCTTCAAGAAATGTTCTGTGGTGGTAAAAAATCCACACCCTAGCCAACAGACACTTCTGCTGTGTCCTTTGTTTGGTGGACTGTAATCTCTCATAGTCCTCCATCATCTGTGCAGATTTTACTAAACAGGGCCTCAAACTAGTCTCTCTCTTCAACCCACAAATTGAAATTGGTCCAGTTTGTATCAGTTGCCTTGTCAATCCTGAATACCTCCATCTTCACCTTCTACATCTTGATTCCCTTCATTGTCACTGAGGAGACAAATATCTCCATCAAGGCCAAAAAAGCATGCCTCTAAATACAATATATCTTCCTTTGACAAAGAAGCTGCCAAGGTCAATGAAATAATACTTAAGAAATCAACTACCATGCCATTGTTTGACCAACCTACTCTGGTGTCAACCTGCCATTTGAATTTGACCCCAGCATTGCCTGTCTCTCTGGCTCCAGAAACTACTCTAATGCCCATACCGGTCTTGACTCTCGGCATATCCTTGATAACACACCTCACACTCAAGGTGCTTCTTTGCTCTGATCTTTCGTTTTTCCCTAAAGCTATTTTGCCCTTCCACTTGAACTTAGACAAAGGTTATTGCTTTTATTTTTTCCTTAGAACTCTTTTTTAACATCTTAATTCCTGTAAGCTTTCATGAATAAGAAAGACTTCAAAAGAAATCTTCAATTTACAGTGGTGCCTCGCTAGACAGTTACCCCGCATGACAGTTTTTTCGCTAGACATTGACTTTTTGTGATCACTATAGTGATTTGCAAAACAGTGATTCCTATGAGGGAATTTCCCTGGACAATGTTTGGTCCCTGCTTTGCAAACCAATTTTCGCTAGACAACAATTTTGACAGCTCCCTCCATGCTTGCAAAATGGGTATTTTCAGGACCTAAGCTTCGGTTAAACAGCTGATCGGCGGTTCACAAAGCATTTTTCCTATGGCCGATCTTTGCTAGACAATGCCGATTCTTCCCCATTGGAACGCATTAAACAGGTTTCAGTGCATTCCAATGGGGAAATGCTTTTCGCTAGATGATGATTTCGCTAAACAACGATTTCAGTGGAATGGATTATCATCGTCTAGCGAGGCACCACTGTATATTAATTGACAAGTGTTTGATACTTCCTGTTACATAACTTATGGTTAGGGACTATCTAGGCATCAAAAAAATGTCAGTTCTGCAATTCTTTGATGCCTAGACAGTGCCTAACCATTGAGTTCTGTAATAGGAAATGAAAGACATTTGCCAGTTAACATGAAAAGAAGCTGGTATGTGTAAAGTTGTTCTGGTTGTTGACACGCACGTACATACAGAAGATTTCTAGATTTTGGAACCATAATCCTGTAGTGGGACTCTTCAGTCAAAAAGAGTTTCCTAAATTGCTGCATAAACATGTCCATCACAAAGGTAACTAAATCATTTAAGAAATTCAGTCCGTTGACTAATGGTCCTCTGCCATTAATTCTGTCTTCCTTCCCCGTTTGTATTATTTCTTTTAACTTTGACTTAATGCTATCTTTTTAAAAAAAAAAACTTTCCCCAGAATGGCCATCTCTACTTTCTCCGAAGACAACATTTATGAAGTCCAGCCTCCTAAAGTTGACAGGAAATCTATTGAGATCTTTCATGCTCACATCCAAGCTGCCAAGGGCATCATGCAACCACTGGGAAAGGATGACATCCTCCTGTATCGAGAATACATTAAAAACAGATATATGTGAAAAACCTGTTACTCAACTCCTCATAATACTGAGGAGTATAAAAACGTTTTGAAAGAGAGGTCAATGGAAAAATACCACAAATGCCTCTTAACATATGTGTGTTTCACCATATAACAGATTGTCTAAGGCTTTATAGCACATAGAGGGGAATTGTTTTGTTGAAGTATCAACAAAACAGGAAACCTTGCCTTTAGAAGCAAGAGGGTAGATACTGGTAAGGTCTATAAATTGTTTGTGTCAGTTGTCTTCTCCTTGATTATGTATGTTTACATGAAATGGATACTGAAAGGGCTGTGCATACAGTGTGGGAGTAGGCACAATACCACGAAGGGTTTGGGCTTTTCTTCAATTTGTTTAAATAGTATTTATTATGTGACCCATTATATGTCTTTAAGTCAGAGGGCTTCAAAAGAAAATGGGTATGGTATATATCCCTCTAAAAAGTTCTTGAAGGGCCAATTTGAGGCCACTGTTTTAGTCTTTCTAGTGAGACAGCAGGTTATATAGCCAAATTGGAAAGGGAGGCAGCGATTGGCTCTTGATCCATACCTCTTCCTCTAGTTCCTGTGGGTGGAGCCCAAGCAGCATCTCTAGATACATTATCACATGGTGCATAGTATTTTCTAAAGCTTTCCTGTTACATCTGAGCATTATTAAAATTTTATTTGATAAAGTAGGGATATGTTCTTTGATTAGGTAATAAAGACAAGAACATGCTGTAGCTTGAAGGACATGAAGCGCTGCTTTTATGTACCTATTAGTCTGTAGAAGGATGGTAATTCTTGATCAGTAGTGCTTTCTTGCACTACATGAAACTGTTAACATTGGATCCAGGAATAATAAAAGGGTTATCTGTTGCCTGCGTGGTGAGGAATTCTGTTTTTTCCATATACATCTTGTTTGTTGGCAGATATTCTGCATTAAGCCTCTGTTGCCTCTTTTTAACATCTGTCTTGTTTCGACACTCCTCTGATATATTCCACACCATCCGGAAATTCAAACAGTATGATTCCCCATAAATAGGTATTTACATTTGCCGTCCGTCTTCCTTTTATTTTGCTAACTAGAGCCGTGCCACAAAAGTGAGTCTGCCGTTACATAGCATTTGTGGAAGAAGCTGATGAGTTGCGAGATGGGATTTATTGCAGCTCTAGTATCAGGCTGACAAAAAGACGGGCCGGAGGACTTACAGGTACAGTTGTTGGATAAATTGTGGATCCTCTGCCAACCATCTTTCAGCATTATTTAATGAGCAGCTACCAGGTCTAGCCCGTGGCTAGTCTCTGCTCAGTGCTATGTAGCCAAGGGAGCAGCCAGGGGCCCTTTGGTGAGAAATTAGGTAAGTCAGACCAGTAAACATGGCCTTTTTGGGAAGCAGCTTTAAGAGTAGTTTAGCAACTGCTGCTCTGCAGCCACTGCAGAGACTTTGCCAGTGTGAGGTAATCTAGTTTATTTCAGAATTAATCCCAAAGATTCCAAGTCTTACCACTGAATTATGTTACAAATATTTGTTCTGCAAGTAGCTTATCTTTTTTTTTAGTAGTACATATAGAAGCACTTTAAATTTAAAGAAGAAAAAAATCTAGTGTTAATCATCAAACATTTACTTTGTAAAGAGCCAGAAAGAATACATTATTTCAAAGGACCACATGTCTATATAAGGGTCACATTTTCTATTTATAAAACTGTGTATAGTTTTCATAGACTTTGGACACAACTTATCAATTAATGGATGGGAAAACACTTGTGTGCAATTTACCTTTTTTCTGCAATACGTGCTATAATGTAAATGTTAATGCTTTTTCCTTATATATTGGAATTGCTCTTTAAAATTGTAAAAATGTTCTTTTTCTCTGTTCATTTTTTGTATCTGTGGATAATTTAATAGATGTACCAGAAGAAGTAAAATAAACTACAGTAGATAGCAATTTGCTTATAAAAACAAAACAGAAATGTATGTGTGTTTATTATTAAACATAGTATTTGGAAAGACAGCCATCTTTTTCAGTTTAATTTTGTGCTGGAAAATGGCCTGCAGTGCAGTGATCTTATGCTGTTCCTTAAAAAGTGTTTGAGGCTTATGTGTAAGCCTTTGACATGAAGCCTATTTAAGATCAGTAACTTTCATGAGATGGCAGCAACTCAGAACTACAAATGTTTTAATTCTTCCCATTGCATACTCCAAAACAGAGGATACTGTATGTTCCCATTCCCTATATGGACACTTCAATATTATAGAATAGAACCAGAATCCTATTGACAGGTTTGTTTAATATTAGAGACTTCATGGCGCAGATTAGAAAACTGGTCTTTTAATTACTGGACTCTCTTCTCTTGCTATATTTTATTTTAGTCATAATACTTTCAGATAAATTCTAGACATTGGTCTTTTTAAAACTCTTCTATATTATAATAAACCTTCCCTTATATTCAGTAGAATGAAGAAAGATATATAAATATTTTTGCAGAGTCAGGAAAACAAAATTTGGTCTTTTGAGCAAGTTTATTTTTGTAGTTATGAAGGGTTTCAAGAGCAGTGAGGAATAAAGCTGAAGATGAATGCACATAAATCAGAGAATCCCTGAGCTTACACTGACGGTGGAGTGAACAATACCATGTAGCTAGGAAAGATTTTGTAGTTAGAACATGCAAGGCATTTTTAAAGTGTCAAAATAGCTTGTATAAATGGGAATAGAGGTGCTAAGACAATAAGAAAGAGGGTGCTGAATCAGTGAAATCTTGTGGTTACTACAGTGGCCTAAATATGTATTGGATTCCAAGTGAAGGGGGTTATTTAAGGTCACCCCAACAAGTTTTTTTTTCCTCCTTGTGAGTTTATGTCCTTAAAATAGCATGCTTTCCACTTTTGTAATAATGTCCCCCATTTGTTAATATTTTAATACCTTTTCACAGATGTTACGTACTTTTTCTGAAAAGTGACTATGCTGTTCCAGTTTTTTAAAAAGCAGAATGAAACACGCCAAGATTTCACCTGTACAGTAGACTAGGTTTTAACGGCTGTCTGGATGGCTTCCTTTAGAATAGCAACACTAGCTTATGTTACATGTTCTAAGATCTTAGATTCTCATATATTCTTAGCTGCTTACAATGACTGTGTACATACTGTATTTTTCCATGTATAAGATGCCCCTATGTATAACACACACACCCTTTTCTAACCCAGATTTCTTTACAGGATTTGTTAGAAAGTGGAGGAGGAAGGCAGGCATCAAAGCACTTTGATTCTTGCTTTCCCCCTCCACCTTCTTATGAGGAAAGTGCTTTTTCCCCTCCACTTTTTGCAAAGGAAGTGGAGGGGGGGCTTTCCCCCTCCATTTTCTTTGCAAAAAGTGGAGGGGAAAAGCAGAGATCAAAGTGCTTTGATCCCTCCCCCTGCCATACTACCATTTATAAAACAACCCTCAATTTTTCCTCTAATTATTTTACAAAAAAGTGTTGTTTTGTACACAGAAAAATATGGTACTTTGGCTGTAAGTTTTTATCAGTGTGTTTTCTCCGAGTAAACTAAAAAGAACTGTTCCTGCTTGATTTGATTCAATGTTCATTGAGGCTGTTGTGTAGAGCACAATTTTGCTCCTCTTACCTACACTTTAAAAGGCTCCGCAAAAAAAGATACTCCCTGCTATTATGTACTTTACCTACTTTCCTCACTGTTAATTGCTTGCTTAGGCCATTGCCAGTTCTTGTCATAGCAATTTGCCCTGCCTGTTGTAGCTTCTGTTGAGCAACCTGTGCAGTTGCTAAACATTGAGCCTTCTCACAAAAATAGTCTGAATGTTATTGGGGTCGGGGAGCACATGGTTTGCATAAAGAAGTCTGCAGGCTTATTATCTGACATGTTCAGGCAAAGCTTAGGAAGAACCCTGCCTGAAACCCTAGAAAGTGCTCCTACTAGAGTTGATCCTAATAGCCTAGATCAATGCCCAAAGTGGGAGGGGGGGACACCAGCGGGTGGCAGAACCGGAAGTGGCGAATGCCCAAAGTGGGAGGGGGGGAACACCAGCGGGTGGCAGAACCGGAAGTGGCGGTGGAGGTGCCTCAAGACCCCACTCCGGATCCGCTGCCAGCATCATCTGCTCTGGATCCTGGCCCACCACCTGTTGAAGTGCCAGCACTGTGGCTGCAGCCTCCTCCTCAAGTTTGGCTGCCGGGGGTGGGGGGGAGGCAATGGTGAACAAATGCTCTGAATGAATGTGCAAGGGATGTGACTGGTTGTTATACTGTTATTTTAATAAAATAAAAAGAAACAAAAAAGATAAAACATGGCACCTTAAAGATTAACTATTATATTTTAATGTAGTAAAACCACTCCTTACATATCTCACTTACCTTGAAAATAATCAATGAGAGGTCCTGGCGTGGCATAAGGATACATGGAAAGCACCTAGGTATTTGGTAGATATCTCAAGCTGAATATGAGCCAGGGGCCAGTAGAGCCACTTTAAGCAGGTGGAAAGAAGATAAACTCTAATAACAATCAAGCCACTTAAGCAGAAGTGTCATCACAGGATGTTTTAGTTGCATTTGGAATATTGGATGCAATTCTGAGAGTAATGTTTTAAGATGTTTCTGAGACAGGTTCAGTACACACAAATTAGGGTTCATCTGAAAAATAACCAAGATGTACAGGGTGAGGAAGACAAGTCCTGTGAGCCATGATGGAAAGAGGTGAGCATTCTTATTCTGGAGAAGAGACAATTTCAGGGAAAACAGAACTGTAGACCTCAAATATCTGGAAAGGTGTCATGAGAAAGACAAAGGCAATTTGTTGCCTCTTGCTCCCAAGCACCCAAGAGAACCAATGGATGGGGACTGGAGGGAATCAGGTCTCCGTTAAGCATTCAGAGTAACTTCCTAACAGGTGTTCAGCGGTAGATCAGATTGTCTTGAGAGTTGGTGGGTTCTCCTTCCTGGAGGCAAATAAATGTTTCCTTTCTGTCAGAAATAGAACACAGCATGGGCACAACCACAACCTCCAATAATTGCTAAAGAGGAGCGTTAATGTATTGGGCCAGATTAAATAGGAAGGGGAACATACAATTACTTAATATAGATTACAGTATTTAATATTTAGGAATGTGTAAATGGGACCTGCAACACATTTAGCCTCACCTCCCAAGAGCAGTGTGTGATCCTCCTTCACTTCCCCTCAGATAAAACTCAGCCTGAATGATGCACCGTGTGAGGAGCTTGAGCATAACACTTTTTGCCTTCCTGCTGTCAAGTTCCTGGTTTTGAGAATATTCACCCAACTCTTTGTAAGCTCCTGAGTGTTTCCCTAAAGAAGGAAGCATGCTCACACATGAGAAAGAAGCACAGGTATGCTCCAGTGGCACATTTTGCACATGAATGGTTTTCAGATTGTATAGAACAATTATAAATGTTCCTGTTCAAAACCCACTTCACCAAGATGCATCTTACTACATTCCACAAAAGCATGTCAACCTGAGATTGCGATGCTTGAAGACTCTCTCTTTTTTCATCAAATCATGTGGTATTATGTCTTTCAATCCCAAATCCAGAGTCATGGTTTCCCCCCCCCTTCTCTCTTTAGCTTACAGATGTCCTTCACTGGTGACCTACTGTATTGATATTCCACTCTGTATGAACCCTGTCTTGAATTTCTTTCCACACTGGTCTCAAGAGACACTTTGAAACATTCTAAAAGCAATATAATAGAGCTGAAAATGATTGCTCATTGTTTCTGCTTGGCAGAATCTACCTCGCTTCAATTGATGTCACAGAGAGCAAGACACTGATTAGGATAGTGCATATTATGCATGTGTTTTCCATCTCCTTCAGTGACTGCTAAAAGTTGTACTCCGAGACAAGTGCAAC